GCTCAGCGCCCCGCCGCCCCTCGACTGCTCGCAGCCGGTAAGAGCCGCGCGGGCGGGTCTCAGCGAGCGACCGCGGGGCCGGGTGGGGAGCCCTGGGCGGGGCCACGGGCCGGAGTCCCGGGGTGTGTCCCCCCCGCCTGGCTGCCCTGGGGATTTGGTCCTTCGCCCCCCGCACCACGAGTCCGCCGTGAGCCCCACCTGCTGGAGCCCGGGGGTGGGAGTAGCCCGGGCGCTGCCCTCACTCGCCCGCCCCATCACTTACTTGCTCCGTGTGACCTTTGAGTACACGCCCGTCATCGAGTGGCTGCTGCCTTGGGAGGGACTCGGGTTGTGGGGTCCCTGCAGAGTCTGATTTTTTCAGAAGGGTTCGTCGCCCACTTTTGGGAGCTGCTGGTGTTCAGGGTAGTGCCTCCGAAAATTAGGCGTGGCCTGCCCCCAAGTTTAGACACCCACGCTCACTGACTGCTTTTTAAAGTTTTGGTCTGAAACTCTGCCTCGGGGGACCCCATCTCATCTGAAATTTCTGTCCAGACCTGAGACAGCCACCGGTGGAAAGTCCCATTGAAGTGCAAGTATTAGTAGAATGGGATCTGTATACAAAGTGGGGTGGTTGCTTTGTTTTTGAATAATCTTCCAAAAGCCCAGGAAAAAATCATTTGTCTGTGACAGGTGGCTTTTAAATGATTTTCAGACATATCTGTATTGTAGACCACTACTTCAGAGGGTCTCTCTGAAACACTTGCCATCCCAAACTCCCTTTCCAGATCTCTCATACCCTGCAGCAACTGTGTAATGTTCCTTTATATCAGGGGTGAGCAAAAGGGCCTCCATGGGCTAGATCTGGCCTGCGGAGGCCCTGCTGCTCCCCTGCCTCCAGGCCAATTAGGTTCTGGGGATGGAGGAAGCGCACAAAGTTTCCTCTGCCCTCCTAGGAGGCACCGCGCACTCCTGGCGGGGCAGGAGGAGACTTTGGGTGCTCTCCCACCCCCCCCCCCAAACCCTAATTGGCCTGGTGGGGGGGGGATCATGCAAAGTTTCCTTTGCCCTGCCCCTGCTGTGCCAGGAGTGTGTGGCGCTTAGAAGCACCACGTGTTCCTGGCAGGGCAGAAGGAGGCCCACCCACAGGCCCTGATTGGCCTGGAGATGGAGGAGCACAGGAAGCCTCCTCCCACCACCAGAGGCATGGGTGCCTAGGGGGAACCTGGGAGGGGATGCAAAAGTGCTTCCCCACCCCCAGACCAATGATGGTCTGGGGGTGGGGAAGCCTGGGAGTATCCTGGCTCTGCCCCCTTCTGCTTGAGGCCCCGCCCCTTCTGGAGTAGCCCTGGGGCCACTTCAAAAATTTCTGGATAGCAGGGGAAAATTAGCTGAGTGGTAAAGCTATGAGAAGCCCTAGCTGTGCTTTCCCTAAAATCAATTTATTTTCTCCATGTCATTTTGTGGTCTTGAATCAATATTCTTGTGTGTTAGAAAACATACTTTTCTTTGAAAATTATTCATAGTGAGTCCATTTTAAGGAAAGAACGTTTCTAGAAACTTATAATAAACAGCAGCTTTGGGAAGTCACTAGTGGTTGTTAATCTGCTAAGGATTCATGTGAGTAATTGTGAGAGAATAATTCACTCATATGGATGAACCCAAGAGCGACTAAGCAGCAAGTGTGAAAAATCAGAATACCTTTTTCAAGGTATATTGCATGTATAAGACAAAGCCCATAATATCAGGACATCTGGTTACCCTTATCTGGCCCCCTGGCCCACCTTCCCCATTTTTTAAGTAACTTGTCTCCAGGTAAATGCCATTAGTACCAGGTAAGGAAACCTAGAGTGAGAGAGAAGGATGAGACAGTAGCAAGTGAATCCAACTAGCACTGTTTCATAGGTACTAATGGCATTTATGTGCTTTAGTGTTTTAACATGGGCAAATCATCTTAAAGAACCACATTTACTATGGTAAGCAACTAGGGTTTCTTCCATTTAGTCAGTTAGCGTCTGGAAACCCTAAAGGAAGCCTGGTTTGGGACTGAATTAGTAGGCAGTGATGGTGCTCAAATTCTGTAATGCTTCACTGAGACAGAGGCAGCTGCACAGATCGCAGTTTTGAACACCATGCTTTTCATGAATATTACATAGGGATACTTTGAAATAGATTGCCTATGGAAATGTTCTTTAGTGCAGCTTTCTGTTTTTCTATCTAACAGAAATACCATCATCCAGATTGTGTATTTCAGTGGTGGTTAAAGTCCCATTGACGTCTCATTGCCCACAATATAAATAGGATCCCCTGAAAATTTACTGCTTGTCACACAGTATTGCCTATAGTGGGATTACTAAATTAAAGTATAAATATTGCAGAACTTGCCTGATCAGGTGACCGATGTCGGGAATTAGGCTTGTCACAGACATCTGTTAAAAACAAGTGAGGGGCCCTGACTTGGGGCTAAGATTTGCCAAGCTGCCTGGAGTTCCTGGGCAGGATGTGGGGCTGTGCTAACATCTCTGGTTGAGTAACTTGTCTGAAAGTTGTCACTTTTACCCTGTTGCATCTGCAGAGTGAAACAAGGCTGAAAATCTGAGGTGGAAATTAGGTGGCTCTTCTTCTGGAATAGTTGTAATATTTTCAGATGCATATATTCTTGGAGTTTTGCAAACATGGGTCTAAGGTCTCCTTTCTTTCTGTCACTACCAGGGCATAAGCAGTCAGGGCCACTGCCAGAATTCAGGGGTCAGAATGAGGGTCAAAGACCAAGGGCGGTAGACTGAGTTTGGGACTGGGATCAAGATCCAAGTACTGATTAGGGATGTTAGGAAGCGAGTAAATAGCTAATTGTGTAGTCAATAGAACTTATATCGACTGCACAATTAGTCGATAAGGGAGGAAGCCTCTGAGAGTTATTCCCCATCTGCAGCTCTGTAGTTGAAATGCATTAAGAGCCAGGCAAGGGTAGCTGCCTGCCCGGCTCTTACTACATTTAAACTGCAGAGCCTCAGTGCGGGTAGCTTCTGGAGTTAGGACTTACTCCTTTCTCACACCCAAAACAGCAGCCACTG